CCTGCAGACACAGGAAATGCAGCAACAACATAAACTGATGCTGAAACCAGCTTTAAATGTAAGGGCCAGTCCACCCACATCTGTTTTTAGCCAATGTTAGAGAGCTAAACCATCTGACATTCTTTTACCTCTCCAAAAGTATATTGGTAAGATCTTGTACTTGAGTTCCTGCTGTGCTCGTTATAAGGGGCTTTCAATCTTCCTGCTGCCTTTATTCATTTTTATACTATGAAGAATGCTACAGGAGGAGCTGGAATACACAAAGGTGGGCGGGAACATATCAGGACTTCGGGTGGGCAGGAACAGAGTACAAAATTATGGCACTTAGATTTCAATGTTGGAGTATGCAAAATCAGCTCTTCAGGCTCCACCTACTACCAAAATGTCACTTTTGGGTGGCCTGAGCCTTTAATGTGGCTCAGTGTGCAGCAAATGCTTTGCAGAGCTTACATGTGCACCGAGCCATTTTGCTCAGTATAAAAAAAAAGATCATGAAGAAAAACAAATCAATAAATGAATAATGGTGTCCCTTTAAAGCAGACAAGATGTTTATTGTAGCCCTGGGGCGTTGCCGTAATGCCCCCAGAGTTACCTTGGATTGCTGGAATAAGTCTGGCTGCCTCCATTCGTCTCCCTCGCTGCGTTAGCCGTTTCCCCAGCCTTCCATCTCTCCTTACTGAGTTTCCTCTTGGCCTAGAGGAACATCCACTCAGCTCATTAATATGGCTTAGAAACCCTCTGCCAAATATGTAGAATCATCAAAGACGTCCCAAGAAATGCTACTTTTTTCAGGGTTTTTTTTCTTTTTTTGATCCCTGCTTTATTCCACCATCTTTGTAAATGGAATGTCTTGTGTCCTATTGCAGGTTAACCATTTCATGTTCCATGGCATGTGTTTTGCTTAACGTGTCACTGTCGCTGAATTAGGATCTAAAAAAAGTTCCCCTTTAAAGAAGAGATATTATACTAGACTGTCCTTCGTCCTGCCGTGCTGCTGATGATCAATTTCTTTTAAAGTTAGGGTACCCAAAAAATCTTTTTTATTTGACACAGTTCTGGGAGTATCGTTCTTGGGCTCCCTGCTGAGCATTATGGTTTGTTCCACTGCTTCCTATGTGTCTTGTACTGACCTAGAGGCTGGCGGATGGAGCTACAGTGTTCGGTAGGGGGAATCAGGAATCTCACACTCCTTGTGGGGGGTCACTCGTGGATGCAAACGGGTATGTATGTATGAGTATGTGTGTGTGTATGTATATATATATATATATGCGATACCAGCATCAGTGCTAATACTGGGCATTTTCACGAGTACTCGTGAAAATGCCTAGATACTAAAGGCTGATACTGGCCCTTTAAATTTTTATACAGGAGTGGCTGCTGTAAGGTCAAACGCTTGCTGGGGACCTCGGCAGCCTGCTGGGGACCTTGTGGAGGCTGTATTTTACAGTGCTGGTCCGGCCACACATCGCCACCTCCTCCTTCCTGTCACCCACAGAGCCATGGTGAGACCCGAATGCAACCCTGGGAATATGCCGCACACAGACATGGGGGAACGCCATACACAGCCCTGATTAGACTCGCATGCAGCCCTGGTGAGATGCCGCACACAGCCATGGGTAGACCTGAATGCAGCTCTGGTGAGAGCCGTGCGCAGCCTCCTGAGACCCCGTAACAGCTCTGGTAAGCAACACTGCATTGCTGTGTAATGTATTGCTGAGATTTGTAGTCCTGTATAGCTGATGGTATTCTGCATTGCTGTATAATGGATTGTTGGGCTTTGTAGTCCCTCTACAGCTTGGAGTCAGTGGCAGATCTACCAGGATCACAGAAGTTGCAGCTGCGACTGTACCCTGGTGCTCCATCACTGTCCTAAAATCATTAGTCTGTATTGTTTTAGAAATACTGTCACGTGACACTAGGAAAAGGTATCAAATGCAAAACTTGTTCAATAAATTCATGTAAAAAAATCTTTCATGGAAGATTTATTTATTTATTCAATTGCCAGATTGAATCCACGTCTAATTGGATCCTATACCTTTAATTACTGAGCGCTGTCTTAAGCACAAGCTACGTTCCTAATACAGGCTCCCTGTTTCGATAATAAATGTTCCCCTCCGTCCCCTTAAGGACCTTTTATTGTGTAACGAGCCATTACCGTCAGTCTCAGCATGTGTAGGCCATTCATCACGCAGTCTTATGTTAATGTTATTAAAGTCTAATTAGACCTCTCGGGGAAAAAAAAATCCCTTTGAAACCCGTTTCTCGTTAAACCTGGCGTTCTCGCTTGTTGCAGGATCCTGCAGGCTTCGCACGGATTCTGTGACACGATTTAGCAAACCGACAAATTTTTCCCGATGATCTTTTATTCGGTACTCGTATGTTAACGGCGCACGGTTTTTGGTACGGCCCGTATCATGGGCTTGTTTTTCTAGTTGTAGACCCTTGTTATCGTTATTACGGAACGCATTTAGCCTGCTGTGTGTCTGCCAAGTGAAATATACACACTTGTTAAATTCAAAGGAACTAATCACTGAACGTACATAATTTGTTAATGTTTGTTTATTTTTACTGCCCTCCCTAAAGGTTTCCATCTCCCGTTTCTACTAAAGTTTATACTACAATAAACACCAATTTCAGCTGGATGTGTCACACTGATCCCAGGTTTGGCGTGGGGTCTTGCTCGGTTTTATAGGCTGGGCTGCTCAAGATTATATTTTTGACGTAATCAAAACAGGAGCAGATAGTAGTTTTATTTTTATTTTGTTCTTAAAGTGGAGCTGTAGCGTAAATCTGGCCACACACTGCTCTCATTTCAACCAATGCAGCAGAAATTGGTCGCGTTTTGAACCTTGTTGAAGTTGTCAACACATCCCCACCCTGCACCAAATACCTCCCACTCTCATCAGGCCCCCATCCAATCCGCTCCACACCGCCATGTCCCATCCCGACGCTCACCCCCCTATCCCACTGCCCACCCTCCTCCTCTCACACTCCACCTCCACTCCTGCTCCACATTCCCCCTCCCGCTCCACAACCCCAATCCACACTACTCCTACCCGATCCACACCCCCAACACAGGGGGTTGCTCACTTGCAACAGTGATGTCGCCTTGTATTTTTATCAATGAATACAAAGTGTTCTCTGATTGGACGAGAGGCGATGAAGTCATATTGCCGCCGCGTGTCCAGCCTAGTATTCACATTGTAATGTTTAATGTAGGAGGAACATGGGGAGCCGCTGTAGGTGACTTTCTTTGGACAATTGCCTGGCTCTGGCTGACAATCTATCTTCTATACTAGTAATCACACCCAGCAAAAGAAAGTCAAAGTCTGCTCATCAGATAACCAGGCAACTAGCATTTTCAGATTGACAAGGCCCGCACTGTCACCTTATATTTAAATTTCGGTAGGAAAAAGACATATGTCCATCAAGTTCAAGCAAAAGTTAAATATAAATTATTTAAAAACCTGCATCCTTAGAAATGTAACCCTGCAGCTAATCCAGATGAAGGCAGAGGCCCTTATAAATCGAGTTCCAATTTGTTCCAACCGATTGAAAGATTCTTCCTGTTCTCCTAACCCAGGGCTAAGCAACCTTGGCACTTCAGCTGTGATGAAGTTCCAAATCCCATCATGCCCCTGCCTCTTGGAATCATGCCTGTGGCTGTCAGAGTCTTGCAGTGCCCCATGGGTTCCACAACAGCTGGAGTGCCATGGTTGCCTACCCCTGCCTTAAAGTCATCAAAGTATTCCCTAGACTGGCAATCTGCAGTGTTATTATTTATACATATTAACAGCCAGTTTATGTTTTGTGTATTTAGAAATACACTTTCTTGTGTTCAGCCTGCGTTGATCAATACAGGTGGTTTCTGATTGGCTGCTGTGGGTTACTAAACTGCACCACTTTACTGCTTTTTCCTGTTGCCATTGAATAAAGAGGAACGACGGAGCAAGCAGATACTTTCTAGTATAAAAAGAGGTATAGACTCCAGAGAGAGAAGGTGAGGCGGACTTACAAAGGCTTGTTGATCAATGCAAGCGCAACATACTTGGTGTGAACGAGCCCTTTGTTACTCTCCCTCCCTCTCTCTCTCTTCTCTTTCTCTGTATTTTTCTTTCTTTCTATTTTTCTTTTTCTCTTTCTTTCTCTCTCTTTGTTGCTTTCTCTCTCTCTCTCTCTCCATCCCCATCTCTTTCCTTTTCTTTCCCTCTCTTTCTCTCTCCCCATCTCTCTCTCCTCTCTCCCCTCCTCTCTCTCTCTCTCTCTCTCCCCCCCTCTCCTCTCTCTAAATTTTTCTCTCCCTCCCCCTCTCTTTCCTTTTCTTTATCTTTCCTCTCTCTCCCTCTCTTTTTTGCTCTTTCTCCCTCTTTCTTTCTCCCTCTCCCTCCTCCTCTCTTTTTCTCTGCCTCCTTTCTCTCTCTCGCTTTCTCTTTCTTGCTTTCTCTCTCCCTCCCTCCCTCCCTCTTTTTCTCTCTCTCTCTCTTTCTTGCTTTTTTCTCCCTCTCTCTATCATTTTCTCTGTCACTTTCTCATTCCCCCTCTCTTTCTCTCTCGTTACTGCACTTGGTGCATCCTCCGCTTGGCCTCCTCCTATCCCGTCCCACCAGTGCAGGACCACAGCATCCTCCTGTACGGCAGAGTTAGTTGGTAGAAAGTGATGCTGATTGCTCATTTCACACGTAATTACTTTTTATTTGTCTCTGCTTCCTGTGCCAACTGACCAGTCACTTTCCCATCACTTTCAGGCTGATGGTTCACCAACCAGAGGAAATGGGGTTAATCGCTATCGCGGCCCGGCAGACTCAAGGCAAAGGTCAGAGGATTTCTTTCAATTACAAAAACATGTTGTTTGGAAGTTACTGGTCTCAGAAGTTAACTCATTGTTTCTCTATCTTCTACACATTTAGTGCAGCTGGAGTTTTTTTTACTTTTTTTTTTCTCTCTAGAACTCCACCAAGCTTTCTCCAAATAACGCTTATCATTTTTTTAAAACTGTTTTGAATGCAAGACCCTATATTGTAGCCTCAGACTTAATCCAGCCATGTCCAGTTAGATTTCTCTTCTTCAGACCCCCCCCCCCCCCCCCCCCCCCCGCGCCGAGCACAGAAACA